GGCAGAAGAGGGCATCAGATACCCTGGAACTTGCATTACAGGTGGTTGTGACCTACCATGTGGGTGCTGGGAACTGAACTCAGGTCCTCTGCGAAAGCCAGCCTATGCTCCTAATTGGTGAGCCACCTCTCCAGCCCTGCTACCCTCCTTCTGAACCCCAAACTCTGGGATTTTAAAAAACCCTGCTCCAAGATCGCCTGCTGGTGTGAGGTGACCTAGTAGATCCTAAGTAGTTTCTAGTCTTCCTCCTGGGGGAAGAGGGTGATATGTTCTAAAAGACCCTCTGTTAGGGAAAGGGGTACACTCTACTTCTGGGGTGTTCTTAGAGAGTTGCTTACAGCCAACGCAGCCACCGAGAACAAGGAGTGATCCCTCGCTGCAGCGTCAGGCTGAGGCCAGAGGGCCATGGCGCTTATTCTCCTGCTGCCAATAACACCTGCCCTAAGGGAGTTTGGGAAGGGCCTGAACACACAAGATATTTGTCAATCACATCTCTGTTTATGCTAAGAGCTTGGCTTGGACGGGGGGGAGGGGAGAAATGGAAATCACAGCATTATTTTTAGGAAGGGTCTCGCCCAGTTCACGGGCGTCCCAGTCCAGCAGCAAGCCTGGCCCAGCTTCACTGTCTGGTTGACTGCATCTAGACACACCTAGGAGACATTTCGAGTGAGTGTGTGAGGACAGTTCCTGAGAAGAAGATCCACCCTGCGTGTGGGAAGTGATCCCATTGGCTGGGGTACTGGACTATTTGAAACGGGAAGAGAGCAGGGAGCCAGCTGATCACCCGCTCCCGCTCAACTCCCTGCTTCCTGACTGTGAACACGATGTCACCTTGGGTTCCCACTGACTTGCTCCCTCCACCCCAAACTCCTGCCTGATAAGATAATGGGCTATGTCTTTTCTTAAACTGAGTCAAACCTTCTGTAAGCGGCTTTTATCCAGTATTTTGTCACGGCAACGGAAACAGCACACACACCCGTGACATTTCCAGCACATTCTCTCCTATCCTCTGCCTGACTCTCAACTCATTTGCTGTGCCCCAGCCACGGCCATGCCTTTCCTGGTCCCCTCAACTTGAGGGATCCTGCCATGACTTCCTTCCAGACATCCCAATTTTACCACCGAGCCTTGATCACCCTTGTATTCTCTTGTTCTTTTGTTTAGCTCATTCTGTATACACAAAGGCTTATGGCAGAGCCGCTGTATGCTGCCCGCTGGGACACAGCCTGCACACCCACACACCCCTGAGTAGAAGTATTCCTCCAAACTGGGGGCCGGGGCTGCTCTCAACCTATGTGAGTGTCTCCTAAGCTGGGACAATTGTGTCCCCGGTGCTGGTGAGCTGGGCAGAGTTCAGACCTACTTGTGGGGTGAAGAAGTGTGTAAGCGAAAAGAGGCAGCCAAGCCGGGAGCCCTGTGCCCACCATGGCCTCGGCCTCTCGGGTAGGCTGGGAGCCTTTGCCAAATGGGCACAGGGAGATTCAGAAAGGGAGTTCCAGATAAGGTCGCCAGCAGTAACCTGTCACCAGGCACAGACCCAGGATTCCAGACTCCTCATCAATCAGCAAACAAAGGCCCATGGTGTGCAGACACTGGGCACACAAAGCGAGGAAGATAAGCTTGTAGCGTCATTAGTCATGGGGTCCAACAGTAAGAAAACACAGAGAGACATGTAGAAGGCTATGTTCACAGATGATAAGGGCCCAAGAGCCTGAGGGGAAGACCTCAGAGCCTTCCCTACTCTCCAGTCTCAAAGCTCAGTCAGGGTTGAGCCCAGGGCCCTCCTCCAGCAGTAAACGCTGGAGAACAGCCCAAAGGCATTTGGGAAGGGGACTCTTGGATTTACCATCTCTGTTAAGTGTCAACCCAAACAGGGCGGTGGTGGCACATGCCTGTAATCTCAGCACTCAGGAGGCAGAGGCAGGCAGATGCCTGTGAGTTTGAGGCCAGCCTGGTCTACAAAGTGAGTTCCAGGACAGCCAGAGCTGTTACATAGAGAAACCCTGTCTTAAAAAAACAAGCAAACAAAAAGTTTGGAAGCAAAGAAGTCTGCCAGCTGGTTTATGCTTTTCAGTCGCCCCGTCTGGGGATGCAGATACCATAGTCACCGTGAGTTTCTTGTGTTTCTGTCCCAGACTGTCAGCCCATCTGTCTCCAGGACTCCCAGGTTAGGGGGCCCTTTTTCTGCAGGGTTTTTAGAGGAAGGACCCCCTCCTCCTGCCCAGAGTGGGAGGGAGGTGTTCTGTGGCTAGTTCTCTTTCTGGAGAGATTCAGTCCAATGAATTGGGGTAGACTAGAGGAAAAGAATGTACTCCGTGTTCCTGTGACCTCAAGCCCTTTGAAATGCCCCGAAGGCATAGGCCTGCACTGGTAGGGCCCTTCCCAAAGCTGCCCAGCCCTCCGGCTCCTCTGCAGCTTGTCAGCCCCATGGCCCATGGTTACCCACAGCCTCCCTGGGCAGGATCGAGTTTCCCACGGATGGCACTCTTCCTCCCTCACCAACGCCCCAGAGAGAGCTGAGTCCCTGTGAATAATTCACAAGCTTCGTAGCAGGCCTGGGAGGCTCCAGCGAGCATGGAGCCTCAGCTTCATGGCTGGGCTGTGGGGGTCCTCCGGTTGGACCCTGTGACCCCAGAGAATCCCACTCCCAAGGCCAGACCCCAATTTCTAGTCTCCTTTCTTGCCTGAGCTTAGCCTGGCATGTGTTCAAAGGTAACTTATCAACCTGGTCACAAACCCTGGCAGGGATCAGACCCCAGGCCCTCCATCTAACTCCCTGAGATTCTTAGTGACTCCTGGGTGGTCTAGCAGCCCCTCAATGAGGTCATTTGGCACAGAGTCAGCACCAGGGTCTGATCTTACTCAGAACCTGGGAGAGTCAGGGGCTCCAGGGGCTCCAGGGGCTCCAGGGGCTCCAAGGGCTGGAGCTCACGAACGTGCTGCACGGCAGAGCTGGAGTCTTCCTCCATAGGAATCTCAGCCCATGGGGGATGCTAGGCTTGTCCTGAGTGGGGTCTTTCGCTGGAACCCACAGAGCAGGCTCGGAGCCCTGTCTGCTCATAGCACTCACACTAGTCTGGACCTCTCGGTGTGCTGTGTCTGAAGGAGAGAGCAGGACAATGTCCATAGTCCATAACCTGTCATCTTAGGAACTCGGTGTCCTGTGCTTAGAGTGAGAGCTCCTGAGAGCACATCAGAACCACAGCCTTAGCTGAGGACCTGCCACAGGAATGGCCAGGCCCTAATCTGAAGGGGCTAACAGGAATCTGGGCCAGCGCTCCCTAGGGCTGCTGATGGTGGCAGGTCAGACCCCACACTCAGAAGTCCCTGGGGCCACTGACTTGGATCTGACCCTCAGCTCTGCTTGTCTGAATGCCAAGCCTTCACACCTCAGTGCCCACCAAATGGCTATGCAGAGAAGCCACCCCAGCAAAGTTCCTTCCTGCTGGCTCACCCCACCCACCCAATGCCAGACAGGGAAACCCTTGCCAGATGCCAAACAGGCCCAGCCTGCCTACCCAGAACTGAGGAGACAACTGGTGCCTTCTTGGTCTGAGAGCTGTCCTGTGTCCACACCAGTGTCTGTCCTATGCCCTGTTGCCAGTCTGCTCCCTGGTGGGCAGTGGCCATGAGGCAACCTCGGAAATGAATATTTGTTGTGTCTAACCCTGTCATCTTGCAGAGGTCCTCCTGAGGCTGGGCACCCATACTTGGACAGAAACTGAGGAGCCCCCTCAGCCTCAGGTCCTGGTGGTGGCTGCTCACATCCTACACCGTTAGGGAGAATCCATGTCTTTTCCCTGAGGTCCTTGTCCTCAGCCCAGGACAGGTCAGACCTGACTGTCTTCCTCCCCAAGGCTCTCCTATGCCACTTTGCTCTGCTATGAGTCTCTTTCCCCAACATGTCCCCATCCTGTCCCAGGATCTCCCAGTGACACGGATGGGTTGAGAGGCCGCAGAGTAGGAAGATTCTCTAGAGGAAGCCTGCTCATGGCTCTGGGGCTGGGAGGAATCATGGGACTACAGGATGGCTCTCCTCTTACCTGCTCGATCATTGATCCTTCCTCTTCCGGTCATGCTCAGGCTAGGAGGTGACCCCTAACTCATCACTCTGAGCACAGACCGAAGACCACCTGCTGCATCCAGGCAAGTGCCCAGAGGAGGGTGAGTGGCCTGGGCTTGCATGCATGCCCAGTGTAGCAAATCAACTTTTTTTTTTTTTTTTGGTTTTACAAGACAGGGTTTCCCTGTAGCTTTTGGAGCCTGTCCTGGAACTAGCTCTTGTAGACTAGGCCTGCCTCTGCCTCCTGAGTGCTGGGATTAAAGGCGGGCGCCATCACCGCCCAGCTTCAACTTCAACTCTAAGCTGCTAGGGGGGCTAAGGTAAGGAGCATTTGCTTGCAGAGCCTGAAACAGAGGCCCCGACGGGCTGTGTAAAAGGCAGAAGTTTCACTTTGGCTGGACCTGTCTTAGGCTTGGGCTTCTGAATCCGGTATTATCACTGATGGCTGCCTCCAGGAATCCCCTAGAGCCTTGCCTCTGAGACCCCCTTAAGAGAAAAGTCCTGAAATCCCGTGTGGTAGGTAGTCAGACCTGTAATCCCAGTCCTTGGGAAGTGGTCAGCAGAACGACTGAGAACCCTTAGGCTGGGCCTGGAAGGCACTCAGGAGGCAGAGGCCCGTAGGCAGATCTCTGTGAGTCTGAGGCTATCCTGGTCTACATAGTAAGTTCCAGGCCAACCAAAGACCCATCTCAAGAAATATGGATAAATAAACAAACGAATAAAAGAAAGAAAAAAAGTATAGATCAGGAATCCAAGGCCCAAATCCTTTACTTAGCAAGTTCGAGGCCAGCCTGAGCTATTTAAGAGCCTGTTTCAAAACACAAAGAGGGCGACCTGGCCTGGGAGTGCAGCTCCGTGGCAGACTCTGTGCATATGCAAGTCCCAGTTTCAATTCCCAGCACAAAACCAGAACAAGGACACAAAGAGAGGCTCTTACTCAGGGTAATGCTCGACCAGAAGCTTCGTGGAGGGAAGGTCTCCTTTGGCGGCGGCATAGTGGAGAGGCAGGGCACCTGTGTTTGTGGTGATGGCTGAGTTCGCACCGCCGTGATGCAGAAGCCAGTTCACCACGTGTGGGTGGCCAAAGCGGGCAGCCAGATGCAGGACTGTGGCACCAGAATTATCTTTTTCCTGCGGTGAGAGAGCTAGTTAAAACGCTGTTGCCGGAACCTGTTCTTGCCAGGCGCTCAGTCCACGGCCAGCCTCCTCCGGGAGGTGGGGCACATGTCCATGTGCTGACCCTCCCTTGAGGGAACGGCTGTGCCTAGCTGAGCATGCTTTGGAGGGGAAATAGATCTCAGGAATTTGAATCTACTTCTGTCCTTAGGCAACTCCTGGCTGGCTTTGACCCTTGGGCCATAGGTAGAAAGGCTCTTGGAGGCCTTCGGGGCATGATGGAGAGCTGCCAGTACACGAGGCTCCCAGGACATGGCACCCTTTGTCACAGCAACAGTTGTGCGCAGCCCTGGCACCTAGGAAACATGTGAGCCCATGACTACGTTGCTGAGCTAAGCGAGGTGGGCAAGGAGGGGATAGCTGGGTCTCTACCAGGCTGGCATTAGGATTCCCCTTGCCTCCAGCCCTCATTCCTCCTCTTCCTCATTCCCAGGTGTCCTTTGGGAGGGACAGAGCCTTCCATTGTGGTATACCTCCAACAACCCAACCCCCATGCAAGAAGCTGCCCTCCTGCAGACTCCCCTGCACACAGCTTCAGGAACAAGCTGTGTCCTCACCCTGTGGAGGAGGAGGTTGCTGGGCACTGGTGGGCAGGGCCCGGGGCAGCCAGCCAATGGTGTGGGTGTGTACTAGTGGCAGGCTCTTTGAGAGGCTGGGTAAAACCCTGCAGACACCCTCTGGGTCCAGAACCCCCCCCCCTCTCTCTCTATATGTGTGTGTGTGTGTGTGTGTGTGTGTGTGTGTGTGTGTGTGTGTAGGGGCTGAGGTCATGGGCAGGGAGAGAACCACTGAGACCCTAGATGTCCCCACTGAGGCTGCTGCATTTGAGAGCAGGTGCTATTGTAGAAGCTGACAATCTGTCAGCATCCAGCACATAGACACCAGAGAAAGTGTGGAGTTGCTGTGAGCGGTGACCGGTGACCTGCAGGAGAGAAGTGAGGCCTCTTCTCTCCTGCAGGGAGAGGGTACCTCAGCAACACCTCTGGTCAAGGCACAGAGACCCTGAGGCAGGTGAATCTCAGGAGGGAGACCTCAGAGCCTCATGAAAAAAGAAAGGGACACAGGGACTGGGTTGTTATCTGTCAGGCTGTAGAGGCGGGGAGGATCATGGGACAGAAAGTGAATGGCCCATGCCCATAAGAGAGTAAGGAAGATGCCTCAGTTCCCTACTGCACATTGTAGGCTTGGTTAGTCTGTTCTCCCGAGTTCAGCCATGGGCCGGCCAGAGGTGGCCGAAGGAGGACTACAATGATGGAGGTCTGGTAACTTGGCTCTGGAGAAAGGCCTTCCCTCTCCACTGCTCTTGGGGATATGGGCCTGAGGCTCTAGGGCATCTCCGCAGCTCAGGGTTTCTGGATAATGATGGCAGTGTGAAGCCAATGGCCTGCATTCAAGGTGCCACCAGCTGGGTAGGCCCTGGGAGCCTTGTGTGCTGAGGCCCAAATCCTAAGTTGTTTATCTGTGGGCTGGACAGGACCAGAGATCGAGGTCACCCCTCCACGCTTCTGCCCCCAGCTTTCTGGGTGTACAGGACATCAGACTGATTAGCCGGCCCAAGGCTGCTTGTTCCTTCCACCTCCTCTGTAGAGAGTCTTCTGACCAGTGCTGGATGTGGAATCAGGGAGGCAGGCACCTCCCGAAAGAGGGAGGCATGGACCACGTGGAAATAACAAGGCCAGGAGATAAGGTAAGGAAAGAATCTCCCAGAAAGATGGGAAGGCGGGGCTTGCCCTCCCACAGGAGGGGGGACCGGAGCTGGGAGCTGTACTGTGTTTTGCTAGGTCCCTGCAGACCAGACTGGCGCTGGCTTGCGCCCCTTTGGTGTGCGGTTAACCCAGTGGTCTGTAGGGGTTTTGTTGTTTGTTTGGTTTTTTGAGACAGGGTCTCAACTCTGAGGCCCAGGGTGACTTCAGACTCACAGCCATCCTCCTGCCTCAGTTTCCCAAGTGCTGTGATTATAGATGTGAACCATCCAGTGGTCTCTGTCAGGCGGAGATCAGATGTGCTCTTTCCTCAGCTGGCTGCTCAGGCAACCAGAATATCATACCGATCCCTTCCCTCAGCCTAGGAGAGCCTCTGGGCCAAGCCTGGCGGCCTCCCGGCCCCACCCCTCTCCATCACTCTGGTTTCCTTAGCTTTCCCCCAGGAGTGTGGGCATCTCAGGGCGTTTCTAGTTCTCTGTGATGAGGACTCTCTGTCCACTCTTCAACCAGATGTCCCCCTGGCAGGTCCTCAGAGGAACCAGGTGGTTATCCCAGGCACAAAGATTCAGGTTGGGCTGGGAAGGACCTTGGAGTTGGAAGGCCCAGCGTTGCTGATGCCTTTGGATCCTCCTATGTCCTAGAACTCCCCCACCTCACGTCCTTTGTCCCTGACTTAGTGGTTTCTGGATCTTGGCCTACGGTAAGTTATGGGACCTTGTGCACTCCCCCTCCAGACCTGAGCCTGGAGGACACAGGCTTCTAATTTGTCAGCCAAGGCCCATCACGGCCCCCACCTTCCTCCAAGCCTAGGCCATTCCCTCTACGATCTGTGCTTTGCCTGCTCTTGGAGATACCAGCTCTACTGAGTCCGGTCCCCTTTGGGTTTCCCTGATATCAAGCAGCCAGGAATCTACCCATGTCCTCAGTCTCGGGAGCCCACCTTGTCTAAAGCCTTCTGGAAAGAGAAGCCTGCAGGACTCAGCCTAGCCAAGACCACTTATATTCCGCCCATCCTTTGGAGTCCTCTTTGGGCCCAAACCCTCTCTTGCAGTGGACTCACCTGCACTCTGCAGCCACCCTGTGCGAGCAGCCACTGCAGGCAGGAGAGGTAGCCTGTGGCGGCGGCGTCGTGGGCGGGTGTGGCGCCGTTGCGCGCGCGGGCCACGGCCGGGAGGGCAACCTCCTCCACCAGATAGCGCAAACAGTGAAGTTTGCCAGATCGGGCTGCATGGTGCACTGGCAGAGCATCCAGCCGGTCGCGCAGAGTAGGAACCAGCAGGCCTGAGGCGTGCAAGGACTTCAGCACGTCCAGGTCGCCCCGGCGTGCCGCCTGCAGCGCCTGCTCCAAGGCCATGGTGTCGCCGTCGGCGCCGTGACCCGCGCTCAGTGGGTTCCTCCGGGCGTCATGCGGGTGGCCTTCTCCCCGCGGCGCAGGAGTGTGAACCCCAGAGGCCGAGCGGCTGCCCGTCAGCTCCGGCTCTGCTATCCCTGGGACTCAACTCCGTCTCTGCAGCGCTCTGGGGCGGGGACCCCGAGAGTGCCCCGCTTAAGCCTTGGATCCGCCCCCGTCACGCCTCCTCTCTGCCCCGCCTCCCGGGCTCTGAGCCGTCCCCCAGCCCTGGCGGGTGACAAGGGTTGGTGCGCAGCAGGTTCCTCTTCTGATTTACTGCACGTAAAAAATTGAGTAGGGTTCTACTGTCACCCAGACACAAACCCGTTCATTCAGCGGTTCAGTGGCCACTGCGTGTTGTTTCGGGTGCTGGGAACACAAGCCAGCAGCTGATGGCAGTTACAAGGAGCTACAAGTGTCACTAGAACCTGGCAAGTTGGAGATAGAAAATGGTTTGTCATGGGCATCAAGAAGGTGCCTGTTTCTGGATCTGGTTGGTAAGAAGGGACGTTCAAAGCCAGGGAACTGGACGCCACTGTCGATAAACTTAAAAATGTCTCATCACGTGCAGAATGCCGAGTGCCCAGTGCTCTCTGCATGCCAAGGTGTCTCTAGAGTCTAGATCCAAGAAAAGGAGGAGAGACAGAAGAAGGCAGAAAGAGAAAGAAAGGAGGGAGCCAGCAAAATGAGTGGGTAAAGTTTGGCTTTCTGCCAAACCTGACAACCTAAGTTCGGTCCCAGGGACTTAGAGGGTTGAGGACAGAACCAACCCCCATGAGCTGTCTTCTGACCCCCACATGCACATGCACATGGACCCCCCCAAATAAATAAATACAATGATTGAAAAACCAAGCCAAACCAAACCACCACCACCACCAAAACCAACCCCAAACCCATAGGATATATATATATATATATATATATATATATATATATATTTTTGGTTTTTCGAGACAGGGCTTCTCTGTAGTTTTGATTTTTTTTTTGTTTTGTTTTGTTTTGTTTTTCGAGACAGGGTTTCTCTGCGGCTTTGGAGCCTGTCCTGGAGCTAGCTCGGTAGACCAGGCTGGTCTCGAACTCACAGAGATCCGCCTGCCTCTGCCTCCCGAGTGCTGGGATAAAAGGCATGCACCACCATCGCCCGGCTTTCTCTGTAGTTTTGGAGCCTTCCCTGGAACCAGCTCTTGTAGATCGGGTTGGTCTCGAATTCACAGAGATCCGCCTGCCTCTGCCTCCCAAAGGATCTGTTTCTTAACGAAAGGAAGGAAGGACAAGCGTGACGAAGTGTTTTAGAGCTGTTTGGAACAGGATGCTGGAGATTCTGATTAACCCAGGCTGCAGTGGGGGATGAGAGAGAGGATGATGAACTTGAAGGTGCAGGGCTGTCAAACCAAGAGATCAGAAATGGAGGATGTGAGGGCTGGGGGGCTGGTAGGCAGATGTTCCAGTGCCTTTGTCCAAAGAGTCGGTATCACCACGTGATCAAGAACACTGGGGGTCCAGGCAGGTAAGTACAAACCACCCTATGGGCCATGGCTGGACACAGATCATGGGAACTGGAGGAGGCAAGGTCTGCTGGACTGGAGCAAAGGCTCCCAGGAAGGAGCGCGTGAGCCGTGGGAGCGCAGCAAGCATATCGTACAACCTTGAAACAGCTTGTGCTCTACCTCTTCTTCCCCTACGCACAGCGGAGGTCTGTCAGAACCCAGGCGCATTCCTGGCCGATGTTTTCCAATCGAGTGCCTAACTCCTATCAGCCAGGGAGGTGCTGGAAACGGAGACGGAAGCTGTTTGCAGAACACCGAATCGTTAATCTCCTGGTCCTGAGCAGTCTCTACTACCATTTCTGTTTTCACCACATGGTGGCGCCATTCATGGTGGCTGGAGCTCTCAGGTGAACTCAAACTTCGCTGTGTGCTCAAGGGCGTCCAAGCACTTCTGCCTAGCTGGTGAGGCCTCATTCCTGCTGTTACTGGGATCTGTGACCTTTCCCCAGAGATTTCTGGATTCCTTACTGTGTCATAACTATGCCTGCTTGGCAGACAGGCAGGAGTCTCTAAACTATGATGACTGGACTTGGGCTCCACTCCCCTGTGCTTCCTTCACGACAGAACTCCTGCAGACCTTCCACCCTGTGAGGTTGCTGCCTTGACCCTGGACACCTCACATGGCTTTTTCATGCATTGCTCCTGCACTCAAAAGCCTCTGAGTCATTCCCAACTCAGCCAGTGACTCTGACATAAAGCCAGGTATTACTACACGTCCTTGTGGTGCGGGAGAATTGTCTGTATTCAGTACCAAGTAAGTCCTCAGATTCCTTGAGGACACAGATGACCTTTCATCTGTGTGTCTGTCTGTCCTATCAGGACTTTCCACTCCACTAAATTCTCCCCAGCAGTTTTAAAGAGGCCGTCAGTGGTGATACAAATGCAGAAACCCTTGCCACTAGCCAGGCATGGTGCAAGCTCTTCATTCAAATGGTTAATCCTTATAGGAGGGCTTTTTTTTTATGTATACAATATTCTGTCTGTGTGTATGCCTGCAGGCCAGAAGAGGGCACCAGACCTCATTACAGATGATTGTGAGCCACCATGTGGTTGCTGGGAATTGAACTCAAGAGGACCTCTGGAAGAACAGCCAGTGCTCTTTTTTTTTAATATTTAATTATTTATTAAGCATACAATGTACTGCTGGCATGGAAGACACCAGGTCTCATTACATATGGTTGTGAGCTACTATGTGGTTGCTGGGAATTGAACTCAGGACCTCTGGAAGAGCAGCCAGTGCTCTTACCCTCTGAGCCACCTCTCCAGCCCCAGCCAGTGCTCTTAATGGCTGAGCCATCTCTTCAGCCTCCAGACAGTGCTCTTAACTGCTGAGCTGTCTCCCCATCCTTTGCTTTTTAAAGCCTGAGATGGCACAGATGGGACGTGGCAAACCTGACTGTCCAATTGTGCTTTCTCTCTCTGCCTCTCAGGCTGATCCCCTCTCCCCACAGCTCCCCTCTGGCTCCCTCCCCCCTCTTCCTATCCCTCGGTTGGGCCCACCCTAGCTCTCACTCCTGAATTGGGTGCAAACCAATCCTCAGGCTTCTCTTCCAGCCAAGAGCCAGCACATTTCTTGATATCCCAGGTAGCATCAGGGGTAGAGTGTGTCCCCATAGTGCTATAGGTTGTCCTAGTGAGCTTGAGACTCATTCTCTGATCACCCAAGTTCTGCTTCTAAGAGACCCCATCTTCCAAATTGCTAGTCTTTTGGTTGAAGGGAGAGGTGCAGCACCTGGTTAAACTCCTTTACAGTGGGGATGGGAGTGGTAGGGGAGAGACACTTAATGTCGAGGTAACTGGCATAGCAAAGGGAATTTGCTTCCCTGTTCTCAGGTCTTCAAATAGCAGTCTTCATCTCTGGAAAGGGATGTTCCCACCCTTCACCCTAGGGCCTCATATCAGTCTCTCTCCAGGGATTTGGTCAGTGTAGGGTGGGCTTGGGGATGATGAGTTGAATGAACTGGCAGGAGAAGGGACTCCACACTGTCCTATCTATCTATCTATCTATCTATCTATCAATCAAGCTATCTATCCATCTATCAATCAATCAAGCTATCTATCAATCATCTATTTATCTATCTATGTATCTATCTATCTATATCTACCATCTGCTAATCAGTCAATCAATTTATCTATCAATCTATCAATTAATCTATCTATCATCTATCTATCAATCAATCTATCATCTATCTATTTTTGAGACAGGGTTTCTCTGTAGCTTTAGGGCCCTTAGGCTGTCCTTTTTATTTTTATTTATTTTTACTTTTTAAAAAATATTTATTTATTATGCCTACAATATTCTGTCTGTGTGTATGCCTGCAGGCCAGAAGAGGGCACCAGACCCCATTACAGATGGTTGTAAGCCACCATGTGGTGGCTGGGAATCGAACTCAGGACAGTTCTAGGACAGGCTCCAAAAACACAGAGACCAACACTGGCAGGAACCGATCATTGCAGGTAAAAAAATTTTCTTTTATAAATAAAATGTCTGAACACATTAGTATTCAAGAATTTAACAGTTTTTTTAATTGTACCATGTGGGAGATTTTACAAGAGGTGTCTATCACCCCACATCTATGGATCCGTCTGGGATTTGTAGTTTTCATTGTCACTAAATGGTTTGATAATAGAAATATGATAAAGTCTTTACGAGACGAATCCAGGATTCTTAAGGCAGAGATTGAACGCTTAAAAACAATTGAGAATGACAACAATCTTCTCAAGAATCAGTTTGAAGTTCTCCAGGCTGATGTTAAGGAGAAATTCATTACTATGGAAGAGGGAACAGCTGATTTGGATCATAAGCTTCAGTCCCTTTCTGTAGGAAATGAAACATTAACTGAGAGAATCAAAACTGCTGAATGTGACAATCGGATTTTGTCTAAAGCTTATGACAGATTGGTGGAAAGATTGTCAATACAAGAAGGCACGGTTTAAGCCGGGCGATGGTGGCACACGCCTTTAATCCCAGCACTCGGGAGGCAGAGGTAGGCGGATCTCTGTGAGTTCGAGACCAGCCTGGTCTACAGAGCTAGTTCCAGGACAGGCTCCAAAGCCACAGAGAAACCCTGTCTCGAAAAACCAAAAAAAAAAAAAAAGAAGGCACGGTTTATGCCATAAAAATTATGTCCAAAGATGAGATGTTATCTCTAACGGACAAATTTCATACTTTAGAATCCTCAATGAAGGCTTTGAAGGAACATAATTCTGGACAGGAGATTCAGACATTGCCGAAGGCAATGGTGAATAGAATTGAAAAGATTGAGGAATTTCTAAATTCTGATGATGAAGAAGAGCAAAGGGTAGAAAGGCAAATTTTAACTACATCTGTGGGTAAATCTCTCCGGGACAATTTCCACAAAGTTCTACCTACAGCTCTACCTGCCTTTCCAGTAATAACAACAGAGAAGGTGATTGGTTCCAGAAACCCTAGGGTCATCAAGGAGGATACATGGGAGCCTGTCTGTATGAATGATCTCAAGGAAATTAAACAGGCTGTCATGACTTTTGGGATGCAAGCCTCTTTTGTTAAAGAGATGCTAAAATCTTGGACCACAACAAGCAGAGCAACCCCCTCGGACTGGCTCCAGCTGAGCTC